ACTAAGTGCACTTAAAGCGTTAGAAATGTTAAGAAACAGTCATGAAAGTGAGCTCTAAGCAGCCTTTTATTTCATTAATATTATATCATCTACAAGTACAGTTTAAAAAAAAAGAGTTAAGTTTGAAGTACACTACAGCACATTCAATACAATTAAGCACACCTATCATTCACAAGTATTTATATTATGAATTTTTAAAAAAATGCAATTGATATATTTATAGTTTAAAATTGAAAGTCTGGCCCAACAAAAACTATAAAGTGCATTTCAAAACTAGCAAAAATACATAGTAAAGCGTTGTTAAAAATGACCAAGACAGTTGTAATGAGGCTTTCATATAACAAAAAGAAAGAAGAAATAATCAAATCTAGAACATCAAGTGCCTGCACTTAAAGAAACACCCATCTACTGTCCCGTTTTCCATGGCTGAGCTGCCAGGTTATGAGGGAGAGGTTTACGCTGAGAAAAAAAAAGAAACTGTTCTGACACTATTTAGGTTTTTGTGTCAAACTGAACAAAGCAGAGCACCCATGCAGAGATTTCTCTGGTTTGTTTTTGATCAAATTCATCCTTTAATTTATCGGTCTGAGCATTCCAGCTACATTTTGAGGAGAAGCAGAGATTGATCAAACACTGCTATTTGAAAACGTATGATTCAACATTATTACTAAGTGCACTTAAAGCGTTAGAAATGTTAAGAAACAGTCATGAAAGTGAGCTCTAAGCAGCCTTTTATTTCATTAATATTATATCATCTACAAGTACAGTTTAAAAAAAAAAGAGTTAAGTTTGAAGTACACTACAGCACATTCAATACAATTAAGCACACCTATCATTCACAAGTATTTATATTATGAATTTTTAAAAAAATGCAATTGATATATTTATAGTTTAAAATTGAAAGTCTGGCCCAACAAAAACTATAAAGTGCATTTCAAAACTAGCAAAAATACATAGTAAAGCGTTGTTAAAAATGACCAAGACAGTTGTAATGAGGCTTTCATATAACAAAAAGAAAGAAGAAATAATCAAATCTAGAACATCAAGTGCCTGCACTTAAAGAAACACCCATCTACTGTACACACATAACGCCCAGAGACAGCAACACACACACACACACACACACCTGCAGACATGAAGTCATTCAAACGCCTAATGGTGTTTACCACAAAGCCACTCCTGTCCTGTTAGCATCAATTACAGGAGCATTATCATAACTCATGCGCCTCTTCCTCTGCTAATGTGCCGTTCTTCATTGGATCAAGTCTGTATGGTCAAAAGACCAGCTGGTGATTAAGATAAACCACACCTGAGTGCAGTCCAGTCCAGTTTCATTTATAAAGCACATACTAAAACTGCAGAAGTGGCACATAGTGCTGTACAACATGTTTTCTGATGTCAAAATACTTTATTCCACCCAACCTCGATACACAGTGTGTGTTTATTTCCAGTCCAACGTGGATTTGTTCTAGACGTCTAGACACACCAACGCTGGCAGCATTTTAACATTATTTTGCAAAACAGCATGGAAGCAGTAGAGCCAAATACAATACTGTTTCCTTTTTACCTGAGGTTCGCCATCCACATTATTCCTGTCACAGTAAGGGGGTCATATACAGTTTGCTTGTCACTTCATTTGTCTTTTCCAAGACAGTTTGCAACTCTGACCTCACTCTTTTATGCCTTCCTGTCTGCTGTGCCCCTGACAGTACAGATGTACAATCTGACAGCATTATTAATAATTAATGAGGCTCTCTGATTTAACACACATCATGGGAGTATGATTCACTCTCAACAGAATAGATCATCCAAGATAAGACAAATCTGTTTGGATTCATGGGTAAAGCATACACAGAATGAATGAATGAATGAATGAGTCAATCAATCAATCTTCTTCCAGTAAAATATAATTTAAAATACAAATATATGATAATCACAAACAGCCACTGCATACTAAACGCCGTCAGTCAGAGAACATGAATGATAATACCTGCGACTGCGAGATTAATGTGGCTCTGAACAGGTCAGAGATCATTATCCTGTACAATGTCCTAACTGTGCCCGTTTTCCATGGCTGAGCTGCCAGGTTATGAGGGAGAGGTTTACGCTGAGAAAAAAAAATAAACTGTTCTGACACTATTTAGGTTTTTGTGTCAAACTGAACAAAGCAGAGCACCCATGCAGAGATTTCTCTGGTTTGTTTTTGATCAAATTCATCCTTTAATTTATCGGTCTGAGCATTCCAGCTACATTTTGAGGAGAAGCAGAGATTGATCAAACACAATTTAAAGGGGATTCAACTCAGCCATCAACATTTTCAGCTCTTCTGTTCGATAAAATACAGGTGCTGATCAAATAACTGTTGTATCACTTAAACCAAGATGTTTTTGACCAAGAATTTGTGCTTTTTGTGTCATTTTACTAATGACGCTCTTGCATTCAACACTGGTTAACTAGGTCAGGATCATACCAACTGTCTCTCTTTAGCTCTCTCTAACCCTTTTCTATCCTATTTCCCCGGCGGCCTCTTAATCAGGCTTGACACTCTCATACTTCTATTCTTCAATTCTATTTAACCACATTTTCCAGTATTACATTAAAAGACAAAGGCCTGGTCTGTCCACTTGTGTTTCTATTCAGAGTAGCCCACTGCTGTGGGATATTTTGAAAGGACATATAATGAGGAGATGAAGCTCATCTAGATGGCCTAAAGCCTGTGACTTGCAGTGCCAACAATGCCTTACAAGAGCAACAGAGATGGAAAATTGCACTATGGCCATTTGTTTGACAAAGTCCCCTTCAAAACACCCCCAACACTGATGCACATTGCAGGTGTGGAAGTGGAAAAAATTACACTGAGTAATACAGGAGCTTCCTTTGACTAAGGTATGCACGTTTGGGATAAGTGTTTGGATAAGCTCAGATAACGAATGCTTGGAATAAAATGGTGTTGGATTAACTTCAAAGCAATTTTCAATCAGAAATGCTAAATTACACAAATATTTAGGCAAGTATCACATTGGATTAAATGTGTAAACACAGAATTAGGCTGAATCCCAATACTGCAATAATCTTTGTTTTATTCACTTCTTCAAAAAATGCATTTTTTTTAATGCAATTTTTTGTCTTCATTTTTGGTAAGCCTATAATTAAATATGCTCCTCTCACTGTACACTTCACATGATTTTGGCGAATGTAGCAGATAATCTATGAATTAAAGTATATATTTTTGACACATTTTCATATGTCTAAGCATACATGTGTGTGCTTAGATGAACTGAAGGTTCAGCTAAAGGAAAATGTCACATGTTTGGTACTTTGGCAAAACCTGATGCTAAAATGGCTGAAAATGTGGGGGAAAAAGCATGTTAATGTAATACAAAATACTAATAAATATTTACGAGAGTTCTGTTATTGTGGAAACAGAGAACGTTCCTAAAATGCAGACTTATTTCAGAGGAATTTAGGCGTTTCTGTGCAATGCTTAAATGTAGAAACCACATTCACATTCATTATTAACAGCTCCAAAAAAATTACTCCGAACTTAATGACAAGTCAGGATGATACTCCCAAAGACAGACCTCTCAAAACCTTTTTGACCAATGAATTTTCATGACTTTGCTGGTTGTTCATGATTACTGGATAAGGTTGTATATGTATTATCATTTATTTATATATTTAATAGAGAGCTGAGCTTATACAAATGTATGTTTATAACAGAAATACTCTGATGACTTTTTAAGATTTTATTACTTTCAGTGATTTTTTTTCCTGCCTGGAAATTACTATGTCCAGGTTTATCATGACTGCAGGAACCAGTAAGAAACTAGTAAGAAAGGCTTGAAGAAAAATGCCACCAAAAAAAATCAAATGCTCCCATAACTGATTCCTCTTTTTTTATGAACATCCTATTTTTTTCTAATATTTTATTTTAAGAGTAATTATTATAATCACTCAGATTAAGAATTTATTTTAATGCACGATTAAATTCAGAAGTTTATTCGCGCTAGAAAACTCCAGGAAAGTTTGACCATGAACTGTCATGTTCCTCTGAGGAAGATCAGGATAGACTGCTTGCCGTTCCATAAGTTTATGGTAAATCAGATAAAAGTGTAAGCTCAATGAAAAATAGCCAGCCCTTCATTAAGTTGTGGTTCCTGCACCAGTTAGTGCCCATTGTAAGGGGTTTCATTCATGATTCAATCCGTGTTTTAATGAATCTTTTAATGAACGAATCATTCTTATGAATTTACCCAGTTCACTAAAGTCTCTCCTGGTTCTCTCTGTCCTGGCTGTCTGTTTTCACAAAATATCTTTTAAAGTCAAGTCTGTATAGGAGAATTTTATTGGTCGTTTTTAATAAACGACTCCACCATTCACTGAAAGAGTCGGTTCATCTGAATGAGATATTTGATTTGTGAACGAAATGTCAATGAACGTTTAAAAGGAAATTTCATAAATCATCAATCGCAGATGAACTGAATGAATCAGACATCTGATGGACAGAATGAAGGCCATTAATAAAAGACAATAAGAATAATCTCGGCCAATGAGTGAATCATTCAATGCTTCATTCATAATAAACAAAGCTATCGGCGCCACCTACTGGCGTATCGACATAACCTGCGGACAGGGTTACTGAACTAATCGAATTTGAACGAATTTGAACAAAACTTCTCAGTGAACGGATTCAAAAGATTCAGTCAGTGGAGTGAATCAAAAACGCACAGCGCTACAGAGCGCTAGTGTGCGGCTGCTGCCCTCCAAACAAACACACGCTGAAGGAAAAAGGGGCGGATTTTCCCCAGTGGAAAATCTGATTGGAGTGGTACAGCAGCGACTTCAAGCCTGCCTCCGAAGCTTTAAATTCCTTCATAAAGTGCGTAAACACCCCAACACACACAACGAATAAATGACTCGCTAAGTACACTGCACATTGCACAATATACTAAAACGCCACACATGACAGCATGCAAATACAACACAAATGCATTGCTTACCCAGAATATAAAGTTGAACACGAAGAGGAGATATTTCACACATTTCATCCCGCCTTCAACTTTGCCCATGGTGAAAGTACAATTTGACCCCGTCAAATTATTTCAAAACAGTCCGGCTTATGGTGTAAAACGCGGAGATGCTGTTGCACTGCACAAGCTCTGTCAACATCTGCACTAGAAGCAGCGGCTGCGGCTGATCGCTTCAGTCCCGCCCCACTGAATAATGTGTGAGGGGTAACACAAGGGGGGTTCGGGACGGGCGATGGTCCATCCGCGCTCCGCACAGTGGCTTCTTTCATGGGACCACGCGATCCCAGCCAAAACAGAGACAACTTTTAAAGGCTCTTTTGTTTAATGGAGAACTACAGAGCACAAGCAAATAAATATTCAGAAACATTTCACAATAAACATTTTCACTCTTAAAATCATTTCTAAATTAAAGTAAATAGGACAAATCGTATCATGAATATCAAAAAAATATTCTCCAGGTATTTGTCATAGGATTACTTTTTTGATTATTATTATTATTTTTAAGTTAAAAAGAGTGGCCACATGTTGCTACAGTGCCAAATCAGAAAGGTCTATCTGTGTAATTTAATAGTGTTTTCTCCCAATTTTCTGCAGCTTTAAAAGTGTAATTTGTAAAACTATTTTTAAATTGATATTCCTACATATTCTATGTTTGTTCATGTTTCCCTTTTATCCCTTTCACCTTATTTATTGTCAACAAATATTCATTTAACAAGCATACATATCGCATTGCATAATTATAAAGTATGCATATTCTACAATTAATGTAGTTTTTTTTTTAATTCATTAACCTCCCTAGTAATCTGTAAAAAAATAAAACAGCATGCACATCTGTTTTATTGTATGTGCATAAGAAGAGTTCAGAGTTATTGTTTAAAGCAATTCTTAAATTCCAGTCATATCCTGTCAGCTGTAGCAATTGTAGTGTTTTTAGGAAGTGTTGCATCTCAGTGTGTACACTTTCAGCCTGCTTTAAAATGTTATGGCAAAACAGTATAATGCACACAATTAGATTTGATCATGATTTATCCAGCAGTTGTTCTGGAAATCTGACCTGCTTGAGATGATCAATAGTTTAAACGGTCATGTTTAAAATTACACCATGGGTAGCACTTTTTGTCAAGCAGAAGAAAAGCCTTTTGGGGTGTGCAGTATTACTACTGTGCTGCCACCATTACAGAACATGTCTTTGCACAAAAATGATCAGCATTGCTTTGGTTTTAGTTACTTTTGACTGCACAAAAAGAAAATGATTTGAAATGGAAAATAAACGCATAAGCCACACAGACCTTGAACTGGTAACTTATTAAACCTTGTGTGAATCTCGCTGGTAAGCTATTATATATTCATAATATGTGACCCTGGACCACAAAACCAGTCATAAGGGTGAATTTTTCAAAATTGAGATTTATACACCATCTGAAAGCTGAATAAATAGCTTTCCATTGGTGTATGGTTTGTTAGGATAGGACAATATTTGGCCGAGATACAACTATTTGAAAATCAAAAAATTGAGAAAATCGAATTTAAAGTTGTCCAAATGATGTTCTTAGCAATGCATATTACTAATCAATAATTAAGTTTTGATATATTTACGGTAGGAAATTTACTAAATATCTTCATGGAACATGATCATTACTTAATGTTCTAATGATTTTTGGCATAAAAGAAAAATCAATCATTTTGACCCATACAATGTATTTTTGGCTATTGCTACAAATATACCCCAGCGACTTAACACTGCTTTTGTGGTCAAGGGTCATATATAATCATGTAGTACAGAAATAAATTAATTAATTGAATTTAAAATTTTTTTTTTTTCAAATTAGCCATCTGTAGTTTTCTGCCTTGACAGAGAAGGTGGGTGAAATTGTGTTTACTGTTTCCAGTTACAGATTAATGGCGGATACTTCAGAGTTCATTAGATTATATCTCTCATTAGATTACTGTGTGTATGTGACCCTTCTGAGACACATGTCCGTGCTATTTTTGATCAAAGCAGCCAGGGGCCTGCAGAGTGTCTTGGTTAATTTACCTTCATTACCAAACGAGTCGGGCAGTCCCTAATCCAATCACAGAACAACGGTAATTTGTCTTTCAAAGATCATATGTCTCAGTTTAAAACATTTAAGCATAGATTTTTTTAATATAGACCTAGTCAGGTAGACTGCATATTGAATTGTATGCAGACAAAAACAAGGCTGTGAGGGACAGACTAACAGCCTATGCACCGTATATGTACAAGATCACATTTTCACAATTTTCAAAACTGTTTTATGGAGTTTTTGTCTTTTGGAAAGACTGGCATGTTGTTAAATAACAGTAGAAATGTTGGATTTTTTACAACAGTTACGTCAGTGAATTTGATTTGTCAAGCATCGTTGCAAGACAGACTTGTCTGTGTTTGGTGTTCCAGTCGAACTGTGAGAATCTTTCAAGAAGACTGTCCCAGGTATGAAAAACAAAAGCCAAAACTAAATAAAAAAAAAGTACCCCAGGGTGATGCGGAGGAGAAGAATTGTTATTTTTGTTTTCTTTGTGCACAAAAGTATTCTCGTAGCTTCGTAGCATTACGGTTGAACCACTGATGGCACATGGACAATTTTAATGATGTCCTTACTACCTTTCTGGGCCTTCAACGTGTGTGTTGTGTTGCTGTCTATGGAGCATCAGAAAGCTCTCGGATTTCATCAAAAATATCTTAATGTGTGTTCCGAAGATGAATGAAGGTCTTACAGGTTTGGAATGACATGCGGGTGAGTAATTAATGACAGAATTTTAAATTTTGGGTGAACTAACCCTTTATTGTTGCAACACTCTTAATAATATAAAGCGAGAGGCTATAATCATCAATGGTTCCATGAAGAACCTACAACATCCATGAAACCTTTTCAATGTCCAAAAGTTACTTTATAATGGAAAAAAGGTTCTTTATATTACTAAAAAGTTCTTTACACTAAGGAAATTATGGTTTTCCTTACTTATTTTCATACTTGTTTACAGCCCTGCTTATAGGTGTGTGTTGGCCAATATTGCTTTATTAACATGTTGTTTTATTTAGAAGACAAATATATAATTCATTGTCACACACATTTTAGCCCCCTTCCCAATAATCCAGAGGTCAATGTGGCACCTGTCTGTCATCCTAAAGAATAAAAACATTAAGTACATTTAAAAACACAAGGTATCTCCTAAAATCACTGACCACTCAAGGTTGTTCTGTAGGTCCCACAGAAGTCTACTTACTTCCTTTGGGAACGTGCATCCTAGAGTATGCTGGGGCCGTATCCTGGCAACAGAAAAACCATATCCTGGCAACCGCAGTGAGAGGGAGAGTGAGGGAGAGAGGGAAGACAGAGGGCAACGGTGGAGCTCCTCCTTTAAGGTTCACAGAAGAACAGACAATTAGCCATTAAGAGCTCTGGCTTTATTTCTGTAACAGAAGAGCCTAGAATACATTACAATGAGAGTAAATGGGGGTCATGGGAAGAAACGGGAGGCTGAGAGGTGCCGTTGACTGATTACATAATCTCTGTGCACTAATTTGTGCAAGATGAAGTGAATTTGAAGCCAGAATACTAATATATTTTCTATGTTGCCTTTCACGCTGAAGAAGAATGTTTGCATGTTTCTATAAGGAGGCTCTTTTCTCTTCTGGAGCAATAGAACAATATGAGCAGACGTGCTGTTAACCTCTAGAGACTGGAAATAAGATAATCACATAATGATGTGCCGCCGTGTTTGTGTGTGTGTGTGTGTGTTATTTTGTACCATCCTTTTTGTAGAGGACATTTCTCATGGGTGGCACCCAGGGGTTCGATGACTGTCTGCTACTGCTCTCTTCAGCATTACTGTCAAACCAAATTTATCACAGCAGCAGATTTGAATTCCTAACATTTTGGTAATGGAAGCTAAACTTAATTAAACATTTCAGTAACAAACCAGTAACGTTATCTATCTTGTATTACCAATAAACTCTCATTTGAAGAATGGCATGCTTGAAAGTGAAGACCTTTATATTTAGGGTCAGAACAACAAATATTTCAAGAAAATTCTGACGAGACCGTTTTACTAACAAACACTTCCTTTACAAGGAGAGTTCACCCACAAATACTGAAAATATTTACGCATGAAAGATCGACTGGAAGAATATATCAATCTTCTGTGTATATAGTACATGAAGTGTTTGAAAACAGTTTCTCATATTAAATTATCAATGAAATACATGGGTTGATAACTCCCCTTATTAACAAAATTTAACAAAAAAAACCTCCTCAGTGATTGTTGAGATGCGTTATAGATAAGTACTCTCAATATAGTAAAGTTAATTTGACAGTAGATATACCCAAAATACACTTGAATTATGATGAATTAGAATTTACAGCATCATTTTGTGGATTGTGTTACTGATGCCAGCTGGCATATTAGAGAAAGTGGTACAAAGAGAGATGAATTGGTTGTATCAGGGATATGCTGCTTTGCACAACCAGCTAATATGATTTTCTGGTCTATTTTTAAGTGGTATGCTGCCTGATTATAAAATAATACAATGTTTTATTTTATTTTTATAGTTTTGCTTTACAGTAACTGGAATTGGGGGAAATGTACTTAATTGTCATAAAAATAATGAGCAAAAATAAATAAATCCTTAATTTTCTTTTTGTCAAATTTCATAATTTTCTTTTGAATTGCTGGGACAGGTTGTGAGATTGATCCGTCATTTGACATTTAGAGACGGCATAGGTATGTCTGACCACGAGATGGCGAACGTACTCTATTTACAGGGAAATCATAGCCTTCAAACTCTGATCAACAACACTGAGCAGCGAAAACGCAGTTGGCTTTCCTTATGATAACGTTATTTTTAAACATTTTAAATCTAAACTGTTTCTGCTGACATTCAAGAGAATGGCAATTCAGTCTGATGAAATTTTAATGATGAAAAGTCAATCAGAGATATGAACTAAGTATGAAATGCTTTGGTCATATATATATATTGTCACAAAGTCACTAGTCCAGTCACAATCCCAATCGCCAGCCAGTCACCTTACCACATGAAGGACTCCATTTCCCAGAATCCCGCCTGCTTCACACCTGCACCTGATCCCCAATCAGCACACCTGCCACCATTCACCT